TTTCAGAATTCACGTTAAGTAAGTGACTAGGGTTAATGATAGATAGGTCTGTATGCAGAAAGTCAACTAGTGACTTTGCAGATTACTTTCTGGGGTTTGGACTTTAGCAAACTGTTTTAAGACAGCATTTTTATCAGCTTAGTAGTATTCTATTTTATAAAATAGTGGTTATAAATAAGAAGTCAGTCTTAATTCTTTTTAGTTTCTGTAGTCAGAGAAAAGCCTAATTATGTTTCTTGTGGCTTTTCTCTCTTATCTCTAAAGTTCACAATCATTTACACTGACGTAGCCTGTGGTCCCTAGAGATTTCATAAGTTTATCTTGATGTTTTTTTATGTTCACGTCAGTACAGACAGCCATTTCTCAAAATTATTTTCATCTTGTTTATTCACTGGTTCTTTTGATATATGTCTCTTGTAACACATGCTTCTTTTAATCAAACTTTTTGCAAGGAAGGAGAATTTTAATTTAATACCTTGGCTTTTTTTTTTTCTGGATTGCTTTAATTTTTTTTCTACTACTCAGTCTGTTTTTCCACTTTTCTTTCCATTATATTTTTTTCACCTTTTTTTTCCCCAACTGACTTTGGCTGGCTTAGTTTGGACAAAAACTATGCCTAGTTTTGCCTAGATTTTTAGAGCTTAAAAAATTGCCATTAATCACTGGTATCATAACATCCTCTTAAGGCAAGTTATCTTGTTGCTCTGTCCTCTAAGTGTAGCATCTAGAGTCAGAAGGCTTCTGGCAAGGATAAAAATAGCCTTCCTGCTTGCTGGTTTGTTGTTAGCTTTACTGGCAGTAGGAAATCTTTTGAATTCCTTAATTGGGCCAACTTCTTACTAGGTTCTCTCTAGACATTCCCTTCTGCCCGAAATTCTTAGAAGCTTTTAGATCTTGTGTAGCTTCGCACCTGCCCCAAGTTGTAGTCAAAGTAGTCCTTCCTGTATATGAAACCTTCCTCCGTGTGTAAAAACATATTCCATTGACCTCACCCATCTTACAGATAAGTGTTATTTTCTTTTGCCACTATTACAATCTGTTTTTCAATCATCCTATCACAATTAAAACATTAAATTTGGGGTTTTGGTTCAAAATGAAGATACTCCCTGGTTTTATTGAAAAGAAAAATTTTAGGTTGAATTTTTGAAGTTTTTATTAACTAAAATTCTTTTGTATCTTTGCCAGTTTGACTTTGATAAAAGTAAGGGGTTAGGTTTTGTTCTTTTCTCTCCTTCTGAGAAGACTTATATCCTTGTTTTTAATCATGGACAGTAGCAAATTCTCATTTTTCTGAAGCTGAAAAATCCCCCAGATTTGCCACTCCCTTCTCCAAGGTTCCAGTTTGGAACTTTCTGGGCAAAAGGAATCCTCCTTGTCCTTTCTCTTACAAGTGGAAAATTGTTGGTTGTCTTCGGCTTATAACTGAGGAAGGGAAAGGAGTTAATTTGGTTAAGTACCTACTGCATACTGAGGGACTTTTCTTGGCATTCTGCAAACATTATTTCAAGACTGTCTCACAACAGCTTTGTGAAGTAGATGGAAATATCTCTTTTTTCCTGAAGTTCAGTAAAGCTAAATAATTTGACCTAGGTCACAAGATGAAATTGCCTTGACTCTACCCATTACACTGTATCTTCCGGGGTGGAGAGACCACCAACTGCTGACTTTGCTTCATTCATTTTCCACAGCTGTTTATGGAGCACCATTCTCTGCTCCAGGCTCTGGGATATCAAACCCCAAATTCATAAAGATCTCATTGCCCTACAGCAAGAGATTAAAACAAGTAATGTAAACACAGCGTAATAAGTGTAAAGAATGCTGGAAGGAGTACAGAGTGTTATCTGAATTAGAGCAAGGATGATGTGGGGCAGGGAAGGCTAATCATGGGATGTGAGACCTAGCAGAAGGACTGCCTGGATAAAAGTGTGGAGGCTTGAGTGGTAAGACATTGCGGACAGAGAGCAAAGGGCATTCTAGGTAGAGGGAGTAACCCAGAAGTTGAAGTTATGGGCCAGCAGTTCTGAATGGCTGGAGAGCCTCATGTGGGAAGGGAAATGGCCGTGTGAAGAGTTAGGAAAGGCATTAATTCAAAGATTTTTGTAAGCACTGGCTTTTGAGCTGAAAGCCAGATCTGTAGCAGGGAAGGGTTTTGTTTAGCCTAAACTCTGTGTGTGTTTAGTGAATTTGAAGTGGCTCTTTGGGAGGGGACAAGACTCTGCAGTTGATATCAGTCCCAGCCAGTTCCTTCTTTGTGATTTTGCATGGGAATGTCTTTTTTTGGAAATGGGTTTGTAACACGGATAGATAAGGGGGTAGAATAAGCTTACTGATTTTGATTTGGGGAGTTATTTTTAAGTCCATAGACTAAATTATTGAAAACTAAATTTATGCCATTAAATTACAGAACATATTGAATGCTTTTTTGTTAGCTCATATTGATATGTCTTCTGCATATGTGTAAATATAAAGTGGGCATTCAAAACCAGTGGATTTATTACACATTTCTTGAGCTTTGCTGTCCAGTGTCCAGGTCCCCACAGCGCCATGTTGCTGCAAGTCTTAAGTGGTGTTTGTAAAAACAGCAGATGTGCCAGGGGTAGGTGGACTACCTCTTTTAAAATATTATTTATGACAGTATATTTTGGTTTACTTAGATGTGAGCTAAACAAAATTAGCAGGAGAAGAGGTAGGAGCAGGACCTCTAGTTAGTTAATCAACAACAACAAATGTATGTGTCTGTGTATGTGTGTGTGTATTAGAATTTTTTTTTTTCTCCCAGAGATATTCACCTTTGACCTGAACACTTTCTAGTTCTTTGTCTAACACAGATATGTGGGTACATGAAATAAAGTTCAGACAGCAAAGCACTAGTCAGGGTCTTTCTTCCAAGTGGCCACTCCGCAGATCAAAGACCAACCATTCTGCCAAATAGTACGAGGTAAACTTTCTCATTAATAATACCACAACTATTAGTCACAGACATTGAGAGGAGAAAGGGTCTGTAGCTTCAACTGTCATGTAGTTGTGGCTCCTTGCAGAGAATCTGAGATAGAATGGTCTAGTTCTGTGCTCCCAGTTCTGGAAAACACTCACGTAGTACCTCTCCCTTTGTAATTTTACCCCCTTCAAAGATAAAGACAAAAAGACACCATGTTCACCTTTCTGGGCTAAGTGATATTAACCTAACTAGTTTGGGGGTACCACAAACAGACTGTAAAGAGGAAACATTCAGGATGTTCAATTCTTTGGTTCTACAGAGAGGCCCACTCCCTTTCATCACTATACCATGAAGATTAATGAAAGAATTCTCTTCATTCTGTTGGAGGATAGTAGGGGCATGTATTCATGGGAGAGTAATTATGGACTCGAGTGTGGTAAGCAGCTTTATAAACCAAATAATTAACATTTAAAGTTCAGTTTCCCATAAAACCCGTAAGGAAAACATTGTCAGTGGCTTTATTTATACCCACTGTCCTGTTTGCTACCTCTATTCCATGAATTCTGGATAAATACATCATCTATGGAGAAGGAACATTAAACAAGGAAAGAAAAACTCCCTGGTGATTGTAATATGGAGCCAGATTTGGGAAGCAATGCAAGATACCCTTAAACCATCTTCCCAGTGTTCAGAATCCCACAATGTTTCTGTGTTATACTCTGTTCTCTGTGAGACTGGGGCTATTTCAAATGTTTTAATATAAAAACCCTCTGCAATTCGGTAAATGACTTAAAATTGAGTATCTTTTTCCTTTTGGGTAAATTCAAGCGACGCAGACAAATTTTAACTCGTTTTGAAGAAGATCCAATTGCTTAATAGAAACACTAAATCCCCTCATACTGCCACCAGCAGTGAATGTACTGCCTACAGTCCTATCAACATTGAATTTCATCATGAGTACTATTTTTTTGCTAGTGTAATTGGTATATAACAATACAGTCAAGCTGCTTTAATTCATATTGCTATGATTACCCTGTAAGCTTCTGTGATGAAGGCCTTGTGAAAATCTTCAGATCCAAACAACTAAGCAAGATACCTCAAGCTAAATACTACCCAGCCTGATACATTTACTAAAGTGGTCTTGTGATAAATAGAGGTTATTCTTTTCTAGAACATAGTTGCTCAATGAACATGCAATGAATCTAAAGGGATTGTTTAGGCTATATTACGAATTTCCTTTTGTCGACATTCTTAATTATCATGACAGCAAATTAGGCAAAATCAAACACACCAGTTATCGTTCAACTTTGATGATCCCTGATGACTGGCAAGGTTTTAAAATTGCGCAAAGTAAGACCACTTTTCAATAGTCAACTGGGTTTAATAAATCTATTTAAAGCTATTTTTATCATTCCACTAGTGCAAACAATAAGTGAGAACAGGTTAGAGATATACATAGAGACCTTGTGTATGTCTTTGGATGCCCCTAAAATCTAAAGGGATCAGAAGAGTACAGCCCCAGAGTCTTTTCAGTTAGAATAGAATTATGAAAAATTTCAGGGTCATATACTCATGGCTATGACTCTTGAGTAATCAGCTGGGCCAGACCTGCAGTAGTTCCTGGAAATATAAATACTCTTCCTATTCTCTCTCCTATCCTATTGTAATTTCAAAGAAGGTGAAATAAGAACAGTTGAATAAATATCACCACAGTTTGCATGTAAATAAATTTGAATGCAACACCACAAGTATGTCCTTGGTCTGTTCTTTCCAAAGTTTGATCTATTAAACAAACTATTCGGTTGGTGCGAAAGTAATTGTGTATTTTTTTTTTTTTTTTTTTTTGGAGGTAATGATTAGCTCTCTTGATGAACTAATCAAGGTGGGGAAATATACAGGCCCTTCCCTGAAGGAACTGACCTGATTATTTCCAGATCAGATGCTTTATTTATTTTTTTTTTTTAATTTTTTTTTAAGGGAAAAAAGAAAGAAAAAGAAGAAAGAGAGAAAGAAAAAAAAATGGAAAGAGAGAAAGAGGAAGAGAAAGAGGGAGAGAGAACAGGAATCTTGCCCTATTGCCCAGGCTAGAATGCAGTCTAAAAATGGGTATTAAAAACCTCTTTTATGCCAATAATTGTGCTTAACAATAGAGACGGGAAGGAATAAGGGAGGAAAATAACAAATAAGCAGCCAACCAATATTTCATTTAAACCTGTGAAATGCTATGCAATTACTGAGGAGTGATTTACTTCCAATTATGTAGTCACTTTTAGAGTAGGTGTGATGTGGTACTGAGAAGAATGTATATTCTGTGGATTTGGGGTGGAGAGTTCCATAAATGTTTATGAAGTTTACGTGTTCCAGACCTGAGTTCAAGTCCTGGATATCCTTGTTAATTTTCTGTCTCGTTGATCTGTCTAATATTGACAATGTGATGTTAAGGTCTCCCACTATTACTGTGTCGGAGTCTAAGTCTCTTTGTAAGTCATTAAGAACTTGCCTTATGTATCTGGGTGCTCCTGTATTGGGTGCGTATATATTTAGGATCATTAGCTCTTCTTGTTGCATTGATCCTTTTACCATTATTTAATGTCCTTCTTTGAATCTTTTGATCTTTGTTGCTTTAAAGTCTATTTTATCAGAGGTGAGAATTGCAACTCCTTCTTTTTTGTTTGTTTGTTTGTTTTCCATTTGGTTGGTAAATCTTCCCCCATCCCTTTGTTTTGAGTCTTTGTGTATCCTTGCATGTGAGATGGGTCTGGATGCAGCATACTGATGGGTTTTGGCTTTTTATCCAATTTGCCTGTCTATGTCTTTTGATTGGGGCATTTAATTGATTTAAATTTAGGATTAATATTAATATATGTGAGTTTAATACTGCCATTTAATGCTAGCTGGCTGTTTTGCCCATTAGTTGATGTAGATTCTTCATTATGTTGATGCGCTTTACCTTTTGATATATTTTTGGAATGGCTGATACTGGTTGTTCCTATCTATGTGTAGTGCTTCTTTCAGAAGCTCTTGTAAAGCAGGCCTGGTGGTGATGAAATCTCTGAGTACTTGCTTGTTCACAAAAGATTTTCTTTTTTCTTTCACTTATGAAGCTTAGCTTGGCTGGATATGAAATTCTGGGTTGAAAGTTCTTTTCTCTTTTTTTTTTTTCTTTTTCTTTTTTTTTTTTTTGAGATGGAGTTTCACTCGTTACCCAGGCTGGAGTGTAATGGCGCGATCTCAGCTCACCGCAACCTCCGCCTCCTGGGTTCAGGCAATTCTGCCTCAACCTGAGTAGCTGGGATTACAGGCACTCGCCACCATGCCCAGCTAATGTTTTGTATTTTTAGTAGAGACGGGGTTTCACCATGGTGACCAGGATGGTCTCGATCTCTTGACCTCATGATCCACCCGCCTTGGCCTCCCAAAGTGCTAGGATTGAAAGTTTTTTTCTTTAAGTATGTTGAATATTGGCCCCCACTCTCTTCCGGCTTGTAGGGTTTCTGCTGAGGGATATGCTGTGAGTCTGATGGACTTCCCTTTGTGGTTAACCTGACCTTTTCTCCTTCATTTCAACCTTAGTGAATCTGGCGATTATGTGCCTTGGGGTTGCTCTTCTTGAGGAATATCTTTGTGGTGTTCTCTGTATTACCTGGAATTGAATATTGTCCTGCCTTGCTGGGTTGGGAAAGTTTTCCTGGATAATATCCTGAAGAATATTTTCCAGCTTGGATTCATTCTCTCTGTCACATTCAGGTACACCTATCAAACGTAGCAGATTAGGTCTTTTCACATAGTCCCATATTTCTTGGAGACTTTGCTCATTCCTTTTTACTCTTTTTTTTCTAATCTTGTCTTCTTGTTTTATTTCATTGAGTTGGTCTTCGACCTCTGATATCCTTTCTTCTGCTTGGTCAATTTGACTGTTAAAACTTGTGCATTTTTCGCAAAGTTCTCGTGTTGTGTTTTTCAGCTCTATTAATTCATTTATATTCCTCTCTAAATTGTCTATTCTCGTTAGCAGTTCGTCAAACCTTTTTTCAAGGTTCTTAGTTTCTTTGCATTGGGTTAGAATATGTTCTTTTAGCTCACAGAAATTTCTTATTATCCACCTTCTGAAGCCTGATTCTGTCAATTCATCACACTCATTCTCCATCAGGCTTGTTCGTTTGCTGATGAGGAGCTGCGATCCCCTGAAGGAGGAGAGGCATTCTGATTTCGGGTGTTTTCAGCCTTTTTGCGCTGATTTCTTCCCATCTTTGTGGATGTATCAACTGTCGTCTTTGTAATTGCTGACTTTCAGATTGGGTCTCTGAGTGGACGTCCAGCTTGTTGGTGATGAAGTTATTTCTGTTTCTTTGTTTTCTTTCGGCCAACACCCCTCCCCCAGAGAGCTGGACCTTCCCGGGATCAGCTGTGCTTGCTGTGAAACTCTCAACCGTCAGGGTTTCCAATTGCTGTTTTTTTGTGGGGGTGGGACCAGCCGAGCCCGATCACCTGGCTCCCCGCCTCGGAGCCCCCTTTTATCCTTTTCCTAATTGAACAGTTGATTATCCCCCAGGTGCCCCAGTTGCCTGTCGAAAAGGCACCGGGATCTATGCAATTTCCCGTGTGGCGACCGCGCCGGCTGAAACAGATGTGCTGAGATTCGTGGTGCTTTCTTGCCCGGGAATCTCCTGACCTGGCTCCCTGTTTCAGTCCCCCTTTCAATCAGCTGAATGGTCAACTCTGCCTTCCTGGAGCTCCAAACGCCAACTAAAAGGGCACCCAGACCCGCATACTCTGCACTGAGAACAGCCACGCCGGCCAAAAGAGTTGCACTGGCAACCCGTGGGGCTCCTCCGCCGGGAATCGCCTGATCCCTGGGCAACAAAAATTCATCTGGAAGTGTGGCGTCCACTCACTCCCTGTGCCTTCACTGGGAGCTGCAATCCTGAGCTGCTGCTAATCGGCCATCTTGGATCCCTCTCCCGTGCATTAGAAATTTTTAATGGTGGTCACTGAAGACTCCTCCACCAACACCCTTCTTTTCTTTGGAGTATCCAAATTTTTATAGGGTGAATCAATCAAAAGTTGATTCTTAAAAATTTTATGCTACCTGTCACTTTATAGGACTGTCTGATTATGTTTTGGACAACCTTGCAGAGTTATTTCCTATTATCATTCCTTGGCCTTGGCCTGTACCATGTTGTCAGCATTGCTGGCATGACTCTGAAAAAGAAAAGGTTATAGACAGCATGAAATCTAATTGCACTGGAAATACGTTTGATATTTTTCAGTGTTTGTGTTGTTTGAAATGACAGCATTTATTTTATTTCCTGTTGAATTATCAATAGCAGTAATATTTGGGTTATTCTTTAGAAAATAACTTATTTTACCTAATTAATTAAAGTAATACATATACGTACTGCTAATGTAAAAGAGTATTTCCTCTAGTCTTTTCTCCTTTTTATTTTTTGACTCGGGTACTTTAGTTAGTGTCTTCAAAGGATATACTAGTACATACTGTTCTTTTTAGCACCTCCTCCCCCCGCTTATTCTAAGTCAATCTGTTGGTAAATATTGGTTCTCTCCAACTGGCAAATGCTTAGCGTAGAATTGCCTACTTGATGTATGGATCTCTTGTAGGTTGTAGGATTTGGTAGTGTAGATCCCCAGAGTCACACTATATTCTGTTGCCTATATTTGGCTAGGTTGAATCATGTCACCAAATATAGCCTATGCCTTCTGCATGATGTATGCCAGGCTTCTGGCTCCAAATTCTACAGCTGGCCTCCAGAGACTAGTACTTTTCCTGTCATAATGTTCCCTAAGATTAGAGCTGCTGACCAGGCAGTATTTTTTGTATTTATAGCACAATCAATAACAAGAGCCTTCAAAGATTGAATTTTACCCATCAAATAGGTTCACATGCTGAAATCCTAATGCCTTCCTTCTCCCTTGAGGAATTAAATTCTGAATGTGCCAAAACCTGGATAATGATTAAAGATAGATGAGTTCTCAGCTGGGTGTGGTGGCTCGTGCCTGTAATCCCAGCACTGTGGGAGGCTGAGGTGGGCGTATCACCTGAGGTCAGGAGTTCAAGACCAGCCTGGCCAACATGTTGAAACCTTGTCTTTATGAAAATACAAACAAAATTAGCTGGGCACGATGGTGAGTGCCCGTAATCCCAGCTACTTGGGAGGCTGAGATGGGAGAATCTCTTGACCCCGGGAGGTGGAGTTTACAGTGAGCTGAGATTGTGCCATTGCACTCTAGCCTGGGCGACAGAATGAGACTCCATCTAAAAAAAATAATAAGATAAAATAAAAGATAGATGAGTTCTCAAAAATTCAACCAAACAAAACAACAGGCAGGTACTGGGTTGTATAAACGATATCTCAATTATTTTTATTTTATTATACTTTATGAAATACTGGTATTTTGAGTTCAGTGGAATGAACTCATCAAATGCTCACCTGGTACCCAAACGGGAAACCCAAGATGCCTAGGTATTAAAAGTTCTACTTCCAAAGGGGGCTAGAGAGATAAGAAGGTTAAGCCAGAAGCTGAAATGGTTAGGTAAGAAAGTTAGCTGTTGCTTTATAGCTACAAATAAAATTAGGTGAGTTTGTTGAGATAAGAAGGTTAAGCCAGAAGCTGCTTTATAGCTACAAAAAAAATTAGGTGAGTTTATTAAAAAGATGTTGCTTTGTTGGGAAAGATGTCTTGGAAAAAAGTGAACCTGAAAAAAAAAGATTTGAAATGATCCTTGAGAAAACTTATGTCTGCACAGAAGCCTGCATGCCCACAGATGTTTACAGCAGCTTTATTCGTAATTGTCAAAACTTGGAACAACTAAGATACCCTTAAGTAGGTGAATATAGATAAGCAAACTGTGATCCATCCCAACTATGGACTATTATTAAGTACTAAAAAGAAATGAGCTATCATAACCATGAAAAGATGTGGAGGAACCTTGAATGCATATGTCTAAGTGAAAGATGGCAATCTGGAAGACTGCATACTTTATGATTCCAACTGTATGATAGTCTGGAAGAGGCAAGTCTGTGAGACCATAAAAAGGTCAGGGGTTGGGGGTTGGCAAAGAGGCATGACTAGGTGGAGCACAGAGGATTTTTAAGGCAGCGAAACCACTTTGTATGATACCATAATGGGTGGATACATGTCACCGTACATTTGTCCAAACCCCTAGAATGAACACCAAGAGTGAACCCTAACATACGCTTTAAACTTTGGGTGTAACAAATGTATAGGTTGTTGCAAAAGTAATTAATTGTGGTTTTTGCCATCAACCTATACCACTTTAGTGGGGAGGTTGATAATGGGGTAGGCTATGCCTATGTGGGGACAGGGGGATATAGGAAATCTCTTTATCTTCCTCCCCATTCTGCGAACCTAAAATGATCTAAAAAAAAAAAGATGTATTTATAAGTATGCAAATATGTTTCTATATAAGCACATATTTGTAAATAAACATATAAACTACATACACACCCTTCATTGGGAACACGTAGTGAGGGCCACTGTCTCAGACATGTGAAGGGATTATCAAGTAGCTAGCCATGGAATAGAAAATCTATAGAAATTTACACCAATACAGCAGAGAGGATATTAGAACAGAAATAAAGGAAAGAGTACAAGGAGAATGCAAAAAGGTTGTAGATAACCAAATTCCCATGGCACTTTTAATGGGAGCTTTTGGAAGATTTCCAGAAAGGAAAATGATATGTATTATCCATAATAAATTATGGACAACTCTTTCGATATTTTAGTTGTGGAGAGAATTTACAGAAGAGTAAGCACACAGGTTAGGGAGGCATTATGAAGGCTAAAAAAAGAAACAGTTTTCTTAGGTACTGCCTATATGTTAAAATATAAGTAGAAAGAATAACTGATTGTTTAACAGAATGTCACAGGTGTAGTTGCTACTAGAGACCACAATTGATTCTAGCCTGACAGGAATCATATCACAAGGCTGGATCAAAAAAATTAGAAACAAGTATCACTTTCAGAGTTCAACTATGAACTTTGCCAATGGCAGCACATTGTGTCTTAGCTGGAGGGTAAAATGACTTTAACTTGTAAGGCCAAGGGACAGGGTAAGTGTTAAAGGTCACCTACTTTGGTTGTGGGAGGTCTCTTCAGGAGGTATGTAGTGAGTTAATCTCATAATTGAGTTAAGGGACCGTTTTGTTACTGTCAAGCTAAAATATTCTTTCTCTTTAAAAGGTACCCAAAAGATGAGTTTCTGATAAAGTGGAACTTCATTTGTAAAACTTTATTGTGAAACCAGCCTGTTTGTCTTTTGGGTTCTCATTGTTTATTATCCTCCCTTGGGGCTGGGTGAGGTGGCTCATTCCTGTAAACCTGGCACTTTGAGAGGCTGAGGTGGGAGGACTGCTTGAGCCCAAGAGTTTGAGACCAGCCTGGGTAACATAGGGAGACCCCCCCACCCAATTTCTACAAAAAATAAATTTCTGAATGGTGGCATGTGTCTATAGTCCCAGATGCTTGGGAGTCTCGAGGTGGTAGGATCACTTGAGCCTGGGAGATTGAGGCTGCAGTTAGCTGAGATGGCACCACACTCTACTTCAGCCTGGACGACAGAGTGAGACCCTGTCTCTAAAAAAAAAAAATAATAATAATAATAAAAATAATAATTCTTCCTTGGCATCAAATAAGAGGCATTATGGTTCATATAGAACAGCCTTGGTTTCTATTGCAATGTTAGCATTAAATAATTAGAATATCTTTTTAGAGATAATAAAACATTTCCTCTTAACACTTCAACTAATGTTTTGAAATATTTTCGTCTCTATATTGATTTAGACATTCCTTTGAAAAATGTTTTACTATAAATGAAAGTGTGTGATAGCTCTTACCCATTTACTAGAGAGTTTTAGAAGCACAGAATCCATATATATGTCCCGTTACAGAAAATTAGCTCCTACTTTGTGATTCAGAAACAGTACTCTGTCCCCACCCCACAACTTTTTTTTTTTTTGAGACAGAGTTTTGCTCTTGTTGCCCAGGCTTGAGAGCAATGGTGTGATCTTGGCTCACTGCAACCTCTGCCTCACAGGTCCTGCCTTAGCCTCCCAAGTAGCTGGGATGGATTACAAGTGTGCACCACCATGCCTGGCTCATTTTTGTATTTTTAGTAGAGACAGGGTTTCACCATGTTGGCCAGGCTGGTCTCAAACTTATGACCTCAGGTGTTCTGCCCACCTCAGCCTCTCAAAGTGCAGGAATTACAGACATGAGCAACTGCACCCAGCCCCCCACCCCACAAGTTTTTAACAAGGTCATGTTCTTGTTCCTAGCATCTCAAGTCTATCCTTTTAAAAATATATACTTGTGACAGACCATAGATCCAGACTGTAGTTAAAAAGCAGCCTAGATAGAATTCAGTAGCCTAGATAGAATTGGGGTGCTTGGCTGTGTACATTAGCATTAAAGTATGAAACCAATTTTTAGGAAGAAATTGAAATATTGAAATTAATGTTTATCTTTTTTTCTTCCATTTCCATTCCTACCCCCACTCCCTACATAGGAATAAGCTGAAATTTAAACGGAACAATTACCAACTTAATTTCTTTTAAGTCCTTTCATTTGGTTTTAAAATTGTAGGAAAATTATAATGTTCAGAATTTATCCAGACTTCAAGTTTTAGATATGGATTCATTAAAGTTGCTGGCAATAGAGAATCGTTTCCTCTTTTCATGACATTAGTTCATTTCTTTGGAGACTGTTTCAAAGAAGCAACATTTTAAAACATGGAAGACCTTAAGTTCCTTTGTAAAGAGTTGTTACTATGTAGCTGTTGGATTGATGGGACCCCATGTTAGCTGTGGTTCCCAGAGTGTTCAGTGGAACTAGGTGTAGTCTTTGCTGGCATCCTGGAAGGCCTACCCCAGTCGTAAGCCATTGGAGAACCTCTGTTTATCCGTTTTTCCTTAGCCTTTGGGTGTCGTGGTTCTGTGGGTTTGGAGTTCAGACTGCTGTTTCCTAAGGGAATGTTTGTAGTTCTGAGTCACTTTAAAATTCCTGTTCTAAATCCTGATTTATAGAAGGTGGGACTATAGTAGAGAACTACCAACCAGGTCCTCCTATCCATTCCCTAGATGAGGAAGACCTGTTGAGTGTTCTGCAGTCATTCTTCTTAAGGCGGGTGCAGGTGGCACGTAGGGTTTGGAGACTTAAAAGTGTTGCATGATGATTCCTGTTTTATAACTTACAGTATAGAACTAGATCCATATGTGTACTCAGTAAGGATTTGTAGTATACTCAGTTTACATGTAGAAACTCTTCCAAAACAGAAATGTAATTACTTCAAGGTAGAGAAATCCCACTGCCATTCCCTGTCTTGTGTTTGTGGCTAGCAATCTGAAAGACAGTTCATGCAACAAAAATTTTTAGTACCTTTGCAAATTCTTTTTTGAGGGATATCTTGGGTGCCCATTTTAGTTTCAAAAGTAGATTTTGACACACTTCAAAATTTAGAGGAAAGTAACCCAGCATTTAGTGAGTGCTTGCTGTGCCCTGGGCTTTTGATATATTTTGTCAGATGTAAGTTCAGTGAAATGTTCTTCTTCCCTCTGAGAATGTTCCCCCAATCCTGAAATTAAACCCATTAGCCTGTCTGTACATGTAGGCATAATCGTGGCACTTTTCTTATGAGTCACATAGGAAAATATTACTGCCAATTACATACTTTCAAAAGTAACAAAACACTACGCAAATGAAGAAAAATTTTCACATTTATTGGGGCAGAAATGTGAAGATTGTCATAATGAGTTGCTGTTACATAATGGTATAAAGAAAATTACTTTGGATGGGGATTTGCAAATTAGAAGGACTTAGTAGTTAAATATGAGAGATACTTTCTTTTTCTGCTTTGAAACTTTTCCTTTTTAAATATTGATGAACATGCTGATTGATATATCCTCTGATTCAAATACCTTGCCTATTTGAAAGCAAGTCAGTTCAGCTCTGTTATTGAATAAGTTTAAACCATCTATGAAAAAAGTAAATTTAGTAACGGCCTTCTTTTACCTTCAGGTCGTCTAAACTATTCATATCCAGGATCCGATAGCTCTCTGCTTATTAATGGTAAGTGATAATTGATTTACCCTAGTGAAGTGCACAGAACTGATATAGTAGTTGTGCTTCAACAGTGGAGAAATGACATTAGTTTGTTCTGTAATGATAATTATAAGTTGCCATTAATCTATCAGCTATTTTAAGAATAATTCTTTTACCTCAAAATTGTGGCAGAAACTTTTTTTAATTTGAGGGCCAACTGATTCCCTGTCCTTAACTTTCATTTATGAGAATAAATGAAAATCCCATAATGATACTGAAAGACTGGCTTTATCTAATATTAGCTTCTGTAGAGTGACCTTTGAAATGTCAACATAAAAGCCATTTCCACGTGGCTGGAAAAATGTTCCAAGAGGAAAGGGTAAGCAGAGATCTAAAACCAGAAAAAGGCAGCCTAAAACCACAGTGCTTGACATTGCATAGGACAAGGTCATTTGCTGTTTGCTGTCAAACGAAAACAAGAAAAATGAAGTTTGATTGGCTTTTCAGTGCCTTCATTAGACTCTCCTTTCCTGTTCTAAGTACTGCTAAGATTCTGTTGAGTTCTCTTTTTATGTGCATAGTGAAGCAAGCTAAGTTTCACCAGGAGGTGGGAACATTCACTTACAAGAATTTTAGTGTCTGTTTTTTAGTATCATGTTCGAAAACAATGGGGTGAAATACAGAGGTCTTGTTTACTTCTTTTCTACTAATTTACTATGGAATGTAAATTTGCAAATTTCTGTGTGTAGAAAATGCCTTCCATTTGTCAAGGCTCATTTTCAGCCCCACAACCTCTAAGAAGTGTTCTGGACTAAATAACTGTATTCTCATCATTCCCAAAACAAATAAAAATAAAAATCCTTCCACTTCTTGATTTTAGTATGTTGTGAATTAGGAGTTAAAAATTATTTTTATGACAATCTCCTTTTTGGCTAGTGTTTGAAATCAATATGTTGTAGAACTTAGGATTGTTGAGCCAGGAAAAGTTAGCAGGAGATTCAATTTATGAGAATTGCTGGGAACATCAGATCTTCTGGAGACTAAATAGTTTATAAAACCTCACTTGGTCATCAGATGCAGGCCTTTTCATGCTACAGTGCCAGAAATAATGCCATAATATAATATTCCAGCATAAATGTATTAGGCCAAAAACCAAACCCTGTGGTGACAGTGGCATCAGGATAAGGAGAGCATAAGGGACACACACACACACACACACACACACACACACACACACGCGCGTAGAGTTTACCTTTTCCTTTGGAACTAGTTCGAGTCAGGTCCAAATACTGGAAATTGTAGTGAACCAAAATTTGGGGTACTGCTATGTCAT